CCCCCCCCCCCCCCCCCCGAAACCACAACTCATGTCCCCAACCAAGCAAGCAAACGCCCCTTCGTGCTGCCTCACCGTAACAAATACCCCCGGGGATGCATACACCGCACCCCCAGCTCCCGCACGCCTGTAGCTGCCCGCCCCGACCGCCTCGTTGCCCACGAAGCTGCAGTTGCTCACTTCCAGCTCCCCCTGCCCCCAGGAGGAAATAGCGCCTCCGTGGTTTTCCGCGACATTGCCGATGAAGGTGGAGTTTCTCACGCTCACGAACGCGCTGCTTCCGCTCCCCGGCTCCGCCGTGCTGTAGATCTGTTTCGTTTCGGAGGAAAAAAAGGCAAAAAGAAAAAAGAGGGTTTTGATACCGTTGTTATGTACAACAGGCTTCGTGGACTCGAAATAAGTCCCGGCAGGCTTTTTCTATCCCGTTCACTGCAAGGAAGTTCAACACATCACCTTCGGCTGTGGTTTTCGACCGCGGGCAGTGACTGCTGTATGGAACAGAGGGGGGGGGTGGGGTAAGAGAAACGGATGGATCTCGGGAATCAATTGAGACACCCCGAAGTGACGAAAACACGCCGCAAGAAAACGTCCAACGGCAAGAAAAAGTCCAACGGCAACAAGTTCTGTTTCTGACGGACGGGTTAGTTTTCCGAGTCTCCCCTTCGCGGCTTGTTGCTTCTTGCCCCACGACACGCGCGTGGACATCTGTGTATAGCAGTCTATCAGACGGACGTGACCCGCAGGGCATGACCGTCGCGCAACCCGCATATGAACGGTAGCCTGCCCTGCTTGCAGCATCTCATCCCTGACACTCGCACGGTACTCCAGCCGACTTGGAAAAAGCACGGAGTGAACAACGCGATTTTTTTCTTCTCAACTGTATGACCCAAAGAATCCTTCTCTATCTACAGAAACGAGTGAAAGGTAGATTACCAATGACTTCATGGCGTCAAAGAAAGCTACATGTATTTCCACTGTTCCCCGACAAAAACCTCATTTTTGCGTTTCCAACGGGGTTCCAAATTCCAAACACGAGAAGAAACGAACGTTAAATTTCCCCCTACAAAGATGCGGACAAATCTCAGCTTTTTTTTGTTGTTCCATCTTCATTCTGGGTGCCAGTCTACACGTTCCGGCACATGGCACATGGTCGACGCACAAGCAGGGGGCCACATGGCAGAAAACAATCCACCTTTCCTCGTTTCTTCCTGCGGTGCTCGCCGTCAATGCCGACCGCGAGGACGGTCCCGGAGCCCAGGCACAACTTCCGCTGGAATTACGACCCTATGGGTGTGACCGATATTGGTTACTGGTGTACCCGGAAGAGGTCAATTTCGTACCCAGAAATGGTCATTTAATCCCGGCGCCCGACGCTCTAATAGCATAAAACCCGCAGAAAAAAACGTGTGCCGCACATACCGTTTACCGCACATACATAACCACAACCAAACCACCAACAACGCTCGCTCGTTCATCGTTCATGGGCACCGCCTCCATAGGATACCACCCCTTCTCAACAGAGGGTCGGACTCGCGTGACGCTCGAGTACTTTGGTGTGGTACTGATCAGTAAAAGGGCACAGAGAGAGAGAGGCACAGAGAGAGAGAAAAACGGGCACGACCTGCCTCGTGCATCACGCTTCCGAGGCACAGGACACACAGGACACAGACACCGGTTGATTAGTTTCGCCGCCATCTACGGCGGATGCTGTCGGAGAGTGTCGTCTTCATTTCCAAGTGTACCCTGAAATGGTGATAATCTATCCAGGTTTACCCGTTTCTGGTTACTCCTCTGTATATCATCGAGGGGTACAGTCGACCCCGCTTTAAAGACACACCACGTTTTCCCCAAAAAAAAGTGTCTTTAACGCGGGGAAGTGTCTTTAAAATTCCGGGGCCACAAAGGCACCATCCCCGGGGCCAATGAAGGCGAAACATATGTCAAAAGGTGCGTATTCGCAGCAGAAAGGCGACCACAAGAGGTGTTGTTTGAAACCTACGACACAAGGTGATTTGAAGGTCGAAACCACTGCTGCTATTGTGCTGTATTACATACTTGCATACCATCGTTTGAATTTCCCTGTACTGTACCACCAAAACGCTGAAAGCGATGGTGTTCTACGACCTACGCATCGTACTTGTACACGACGGTAGTGCGCTGGTGTTGATATGGGCTTAATTATTTGCTCTCTTGTATTTTTAGGCGTTGTCCTACCCGTGAATATCTTGCCCAAGATCTCGCTACCGCACCTGAGAAATATCGATTGTTGTAAAACGACACTAGGAAAATGTAGGTTACGCAGAAACAAAGAGACCAAAAATATCGGGAAAACACAGCGACAAAGAGGACACCGCGCCTCCCAAAAGGTCAAAACGAGGCACAACACGACACAAACGCCAATTTCAACCTCACGAGACTTCACCCAAGGCCAACAACCAACGTTGGCAATAAAAGTGCTTTGCTCTCGAAACCAAAAACAACACCCGCCACATATCCCGAAGAGTCGCCTGCACCTCCCCCCCCTCCTTTGCTCTTCGCTTGACCTGAGTTTCATGAATAAACGAATGCACAGAGTCTTCGAAAGAAGGCACGCCGTTTCGCTGTACTCGCCGTCTCTTCCATGTGTGTTAAAGTAAGAGCGGACATCTTCGAGACGAGAGCGAACCTCGCCCTCTGAAATCGTAGATTTATGCACGACTGGCCTACCGTGATCGCCTTCCTCTTCACTGGACACGTCCTCCTCGACGTGTACGTTTGACATGTTCTCCGTTACCTCTTCCATCTTGAGTTCAACCTCATCCCTCAGGACCTCTTCATCGTCCTCTACACTGAGCCAAGTGCGCATTGCGCTGCGCACTTCTTCAAGCCCGCAGCAGACGAACCGCTAGCAGATGGAATGAATCTTTCCATACACCCATACGCAGTGTGCGGCTGCAGCAGACCGCTGATGATGATCCAGGACCTACAGGTGCTGCAGTACATTTTCTGGAGGGGGTCGAATGGTGGAAAACCCTACCCCCTCTACTTTTTCACATCTGCGGGGCACCATGTTTTTGAGATTTGTTGTGTCCTTAAAGCGGGGGGTGTCTTCAAAAAATGGTGTCTTTACAGCAGGGACGACTGAATCTTGTATTTCTAGCAACTGCTGCGCCGCATCGAACCGAAAAACTGGGCGGGCTTTTCGTCGATTTTCAAAGCGGCGCTCCCTTCGCCCCTCCGCCCACAGCAGCGACCAAAACCAGAAAAAAATGACGGTTGTTGTTGTCCGCTCATGTAGGGGTCATCTGATGGATAAGGAGGACGAACGAATGCCATCTCAGCAAAAGAAGAATTTTCTGCCAGGTTGCGTGAGTGAGGCACGCGCTGCTGCTGTGAGCGGGAGAGCGTTTTGTACGTACAGCAGTAGACGATAGGGCCCACATGAGACTCAGAACGAAGAGCGGAGATGTTCCTGCCCATGGACTAGACTGTTCTGCAACAGCACATGCACACATCAAACATCATCCGGCAATGACATTAGAGCGCTGCTGCTCTTCTGACCACAGGGCACACGCACACCACACACAAAGGCACACAGCTGCTGCTACTCACCCCACCGCCGTCCTGCTGGCTCGAAAAGCTCAGGCTCTCGAACACGCAGCCGTCCACCTGCAGCTGACCTGCGTTCCACACCGCTCGGACCTCGCCCGGCGACCCCAGGACGCCCGCCTCGTTCGCAAACGTCAGCCTGTCCAGCGCCAGGTACGACCCCTCCGGGTTGACAAGGAGGGATGCCGAGGTCGGGTCGGGCACGAGGAAGTCCTCAGCGACAGCTACGAGGAAGTTTTCGTCGGGGGCGGACCCTATCGACACCTCCACCCCTGTCGGCAACGTGATGGCGTCGACGCAGCGGAGGTTCGCGGTGACGACGATCGAGATGTCGATCCCCAGCTCCGCGTTCTTCTTGAGCCCCTCGCAGGTGCCGACCTCGACCTCGCCGGCGGTGCGGTTGACGGTGATCACCTGCCCCTGCGCGAGAGGAGGCTGCTGGCCGAGCAGCAGCAGCAGCAGCAGCAGCAGCAGCGGCAGCGGCAGTAGCAGCACCCCGAACACCCTTGTCGCCATGTGTTCTTATCTCGCGACACTGATGTTCGCCGGCGACACCACGCCACCACGCCGGCGGCGTGCGCACTGCTAGCCGAGAAGCTCGTAGAGTGTGGGCGAAGGCACAGCACCCTTGTTGTGCCAGCAAGCCGCCTTCACCGCCGTGCCAACGCACACAACGTTTGGGGCCAGTGAACAACCAGACCCTCTTATTTGTATTCACGTTGGTGTTGCACAAACAGAACGAAAAAGGCGAGCAGCGCAGTGTTATTTGGTTTGCAGAATTCCTCTAAATTTGCGCCGTTGGGGGGCACGCAGAGGGGGTGAACCTCCCCTCTACGAACCCCCGAAACCACTTGGCTTTTGTGTATCCACAAAGCTTCGGCACACGGAAGCCGATAGCTCGGCCATCAGGAGGTGATCCCAAACAGGACTTCGAGGTCGTGTGGATCAGGTATGGAACTAAAGATATGGCCCCTCTCTGGAACGTGATGCTACTTCTAGCACTAGATCTTGGCATCGCACAGAAAGGTCCAATATGCAGCACAGGGTACGCAGCGGACAAATAGCGTTTGAATTCGCATAGATGCACATGGCGCTACCTCGTGGCCCCGCTCTAGCCCAAAGTCGCCTCCACCCCTGTGCGAGTGCCGGGGATCATTGGACTAGCCCACGATAAGAACGTGTGTTAGCGTTAGCACAATACGCACGGTCCACGGCAGCAAAGGCTCCGTGCTGGGTGTATTGTGTGCAGGAAGCGCCTGTGTGGTACGCCAGCACATGCATGACCACGAAGCACATGACACGCAGCACAGAGGGGCACACCCGTTGCGACCTAAGAACACCATGCACATGTGATGTCCAGTCGATGCGTAGCGTGCTTGAGGTCGAGGCCGTGGTCAATTGTTTCGCAGGGGTTGATTATTCTCTCCTGAACAATTATAAACACGAAATAAAATTACTTCGAAGTAGGTGGACTAGATTATTATAGTCTTTATTGTACTCTGTATCCTGCGTACTACTTTTTTTGTGTACAGCAGTCGTCTGCTGGGAGATCCTTGAGGGGACAGTTCATCAGCGCGTGTCCACCCACCCGTACGCGTTGCAGAATATATATTTTTTGAGGTTGATGAGGGATGATTGCATTTGACCACGTGTCTGATTGCCGGGGAGGCAGGTGCTTGCGATCAATACTACTGCAGCGGCTGCTGGGACGCTACCCCTCCCCCCTTTTGCCTGAGCTGATTCTCACGTTCCACGTCGCTATTTTGAGGAAGAAGAGTACTAGTCCCGACAGGGCTGTATCAGAGGTAGTTGACACATGGATGACAGTCGTGACAACTGATCGCGTACTCGGTGCGTACCAAGCTCAAACGTGAGTTGCAATGCCGTCCCGTCCCGCCTGTTCGCCGGATGGGTGTCTAGGCAGGAAAAGCATGCCTCGCAAGAACAGCAACAGGGTGGCGAACGTAAAGAAGAGGGCTCGTCGTCCCAAGGGGCGGCCGCCGGAGCGGGCGTGGGCGCAGACATTAGCGCAGATGAAAGCAGCAGCGGCAGCGGCGGCGCGGAGAAAGTCCCTTCGCACTCGGGGAGGCGAAACGTTTGTGCGCCTTCGAAACGGCGGCTTCAGTAACAGCTGCGGGCCCATCTGCTTGTTGCAACATGCGATGAGTGATAGCCTCCCGATTGCTACCATCGAGAGAGCCACCAATGGCGAGATCGCGTCTGAGGTACGAGGCGCCCTGCGGTACATTCGCGACATCACCGTCGACACCTCGCACGGCCACACCCTGAGTGTGCTCGACCCCGACGAGGAGCGTGAGGTTCACGGGTTCGAAGATCTGGTGGATTCCGCAGAGCGCGACATCCTTTCGAAGCCGATGTGGGACAAGATCATGCGCTGTCCGTACGGCTACTTCGATGGCAGGGCGATGATGATCGGGGCGGACGCTTTGGGTCTAGATGGTCTTCTGATAGTTCGGGTGGACAGCGCTGGATTTTTGGTGGCGATGGATGGGATGACGACCCCAGTTGCCGAAGCGAAGCATCTCAGCCACTGCCCTCTGGTTTTGGTGGGCTCAAGAAAAGTCAGCCTCAGCTTGAATGCCACCCCCACACGCCCAATCCTCAAAGCACGTTTCAAAATAGCGAAGGCGTGCTTGTATGGCGGGCTCGTCACGACCCACTCCGGGCGCCGCCCTTCCTCGCAGAAGGTATCCACAAATGTGTCCGTCGTGGCATCCATATGACTGTCTGCGACCAACCTGAGGAGGGTGACAAGGACCAGGAAAAGGCTTGATTTTAATAATGGAGAAACGGCACATTGAAGATTTAAATGACAGGATCGTCTGCCAATAAGGGTGGCTGATGCCCATGCTGTAGACTTTGTGTGTCCTATATATATATATATGCTAGTTTTTACGCCAAAAGATAACAAGGCTTCAACAAGACTTCGTAGTTCCAACAGGCACTTGGAATACAGTGATGGGCACCATGAAGACAAAAAAAAATAAACACATACAGACATACCTGGCATCGACGTCATTGGTTGTCACGCCGAAACCGTGGTCCTTTAGCACAGTGCTGACTGCGTCGTTGGTGCTGCCACAGCAATCGAGCACGCCACCGGCCATCTCCACGTGTTGCAGAAGAGCTCGAACCTGAAGTAGCATCCCGTGGGGCAAACGCAACGGTTGCATGAGACTTTCATATCATCTGCCTTATACCCCGGTCGTTATGCCTTGGGCACAGTAATTGCCTATTGTTCCGTGTCGCTAGAGTCGTTAACTTGTGCAGGCCCAACTTTCGCGAGGCAAGGCGTGGCAGCGGCTGCCGGAATGGATCCTGAGCACTACAACAGCAGAATCCTAGCACCCGTTGCTCTTATTTTTTGAAAGACGACAAGGTTCAGGATTCCGCTATAAATTAGAACTGAACAGTGTAATTATTACCTCGTTTGTATGAGAGACCACATAATAAGACCTCAAACCTAACGGCGTGTGCTCGGCAAGAGGGAGGAAGGAATAACTACAAGTATGATCGTCAAACTACAAGTATGATCGGCAGAAATTTGCAAACAAATGCGAACCCCTACTCCGCAACACTCTACCTCCGCAATAATCTACATCCACACCGTGTGTTGCGGCTATAAATGCGATGCCGAACAGCTTTTTGAAACTCTACAATCAAGGCGCCGTGGCGGATCCTACACAAGCCAGATTACAAATTATGCAACGGCGATGTGATGTGCGTACTGCTGTGGACGTGTCCGGAGATGATCCACACACATCTCGAGACCACATCACCTGCGAACCAGTCGACGGGTACCGGCCCGTACGTGAGGGCTGCCCGAGCTCCATCTTACTCCCTCCTCCTCTCTCTTGCTTCTTGCGATGGCACTTGAACAAGTTGTACATCTGGAAGACGCAGTCGGGGCGGGCACAGATGCACTCTCCAACGCGTAGAGGATCTTGAAGAAGGTCTCGAGCGTGACGCCACCCTTCCCCAACACTTGCAGACCACTCGCCGAGGTCCTCCCAGTGCTCCGTATCCGCTACGTGGTTCCACTTTCTCGAGGACCCGTCACGACTGCCGGGCCGATCGCACGCGAAGCATAGCCCGAGCCCCCCGTCTGCCGCTTCTTTACCATGCACAGCTTTGCCACAGATGGCGCGAGGACCCCGCGACATCGCCGAAAACCGGTGAATCTGCCGATTTCCAGCTGCTCACTAGATCACCGATTTCTAAGCCCTGCGAGAGAGATCCCTCACCAAACTTCAGCAGACGAAAGGAGATAACCTCAGCTACAGCCCCCCCCACCTGGTAGCAGCTAACTCTCCTGCTAGCACTAGATCAGGCTGCCTCTGACCGCCGCACCGAGTTGCTCCGCGTGCCAAAAATTTGCTCCCAAGCAGGTCTGCTGTGCTCACACAGCGCCGATTGACGGCGTTTCTCCTGGACTAACCCCTCGAGCTTTACTAACTCCGTGATCTGACGCGCTGTCGTAGTGTCTAGGGCGCGGTGGGTGGCTGCTATGGCTGGTTTTGTGAAAGTGTACGTCAGGGGGCTTTTCCGGGGTATGTGATTTTTGTTGATGAATACTGTGTGCGGATCCCCGGCGCAGTTGAGATTTTACGTTATCCGCCCATACTTCGCGCCTCGGGGACCGATTGGCTTCGTTCTTTTTCCTAAACCGTCCACACGTACCAAAGCTACAGGCAGGTCCTTTCTTCATCACCAACGGTGTGCTTCACGGCGACAACTCGTCGAAAAGGAGCGAAAATTTCCAGAGGAGCTCTGCAAACCAAATAACACTGAGCGGTCGCGCGCGCGGTCGGGGGGGGGGCGCAGATGGCGAACAATTGGCGAGGAGAGGGGGGGGGCATGTCGGTTTCGGATTTGGCACTTACTGCCTACACACGTGAACGCGCGCCGGATCGATCTTCCCATATATTTTGCGTTCTGTGGTACACTTCTCATGTGCGCGGGCGTTGCTGCTAGTGCATGTAGATCGTCTTTAACCTGCCGGAGACAGCATGTCGGAGGTCGCGATAAACGCGCTGACGGTCGATTTGACCAGCCTCCTGTCTTCGGCGAAGGGTCGGCAAAGCGCCGAAGATTTGGTTCAAACGACGTCGCTGTTCAGGCAGTGCAAGCAGTACAGCGAGGTCAAGGAGAACAGCAAGACTGTCGCCAGAGATATCGGTGAAGAGACCTCCACTGCTCCTGGCACTCCTGTCGGCAGCACTCTCACCCGGAAGACGCCCCTCCCCGACGAAGTGGATAGGTGCGTGTCCTGGATCCTGATCCATCGAGGGTGTAGTCTAGTCTATCTAGATATAGGGACGGCTGTAGATAGGATTGTCTACAGCAGCACTAATACATTAGTCTTCGTTCACAAGCCTTTGTATACAGCAGCCTGATTTTCGTTCTGTATGCCTGCTACCGCTTTCACCATTGTTCCAAAAGGTATTGCATGCATAGCACAGATCTCCTTGTGCGGGATCACCTACAGTAGTCAA